GACAAAACCTTGTCGAAACGTTGTACATTTGCTGTTATATTAAAGTTTTTCTTCATTACTCATTCAAGCCGTCTCCAGCCATTATTAGTCTCAAAGTGGGTTCCTCGTCATCGAATTTCAATAAAGTTTTTATTGGGTAAATATAAAACGTTGTTTTTAATTATTTATTATAATTTTAAAAAATGTTTATGGTTTTTCTAGTAGATGAGCAGATGAGGATGGTGTTACAAGCAAATTGGTATACGGTGGGTAGTGTTTACAGTAGATGTATAGATATTGGACTGTGTTTCTAGCATATAGGTAAATGATAGCTGATGTTATGAGCAAATGAGTATATCTTAGGATGGTATTTATAGTAGATGAATGGTGTTACTAGTAGATGAGTAGTGGGAGGATAGTTTTACGAGTAGGATGGGCAGAATTATTAGTAGATTAGTTTCTGTTGGGTAGTGATACTAGTAGATATATAGATGGCGGAAGGTGTTCCTAGTAAACGGGTAGATTATGGATAGTGTTACTGGTAGATTAATAGATGTGTTATCATGTTCATACTAATGAGTAGGTGTAGACCATGCTATTAGTAGATAATTATATGATCACAATGTTATTAAAAGATGAGTAGATTGTAGATGATAGGTTAATAGATGGTTTTTGGTGTTGTTAGTTGTTGAATAGATGGTGGATGGTATTCCTAGTAAGTGAGTAGATTATTAACGATGTTACAAGTAAGTGAGTAGATATTTAGATGATGTTACTAGTAGATAAGTAGATGATGGAAGGTTTTACTAATATATAATTTGAATTTTGGATGGTGTTCATGACAAATGAGGTGATTGTGGACGTTGTTTATAGTAGATAAGTATATGTTGGAAATGTGTTACTTGTAGATGAGTAGATGTTGAATGGTGTTTCTAGTAAATGGGTAGGTGGTAGCCTGCATTATTTGTAGATGAGTAAACGTTAGCTTGAGTTACTAGTAGATGAGTAAATGGTGGACAGTGGTAGTAGTAGGTCAGTAGATGATTAGTGGTATTATCAGTTGGTGAGCAGTATTACCAGTAGAGTGGCAGATGATGGATATTGTTATTAGTAGAAAAGCAGATGAATGACACTATTACTTTTAGATAAGTACTTTTAGATGGTGGTTTTAGTTAGTAGATGTTGGAAGTTGTTACCAGTATGTGAGAAGATAATTAGTAGTATTACCTTTAGATGACTATATGATGGCAGTTTTATCAGTGAGGGAGAAGATGGTAATCAGTATGACCAGCAAGTAAGCAGGTGATGGGCACTGTTATCAGTAACTAAGCAGATAATATTGGTGTTACCAGTAGGTGAATGACTGCAGTGTTAGTGATATATAAACAGAGAATGGTGTATGACATGTTTGGGTTGTGAGCGCCACCCTTCTATTGCCCTTGTCACAGAATATTTGAAAATTTTGAATAGTTTTTCTATAATGTTATACTTCTTTTATATTCACTATTGTCCACTTGTAAACCTAACCTTAGATGTTTGATCTCTCAAGTTTATGCCTGTTTCTTGTCATTAGTTGCGAGGTTGCCAAACTGAAGATCGTAAGAGAAGATAAAGCTGTCGCTATTCGGTTTTGCCTAATTATAAATTGGCTGAGCTAGCAGAGGTAACAGTTTATTCTTCAGGTCAAATAGACTTTTTCAATAAATTTCTTAAAGGAATCGAAAGGGTAAAGTCTGATCCGTACAAACAGGAATGTTTTACATACATTTTTATTGAGTTATTTGTATGAATATTTAATTATGTTGTGTACCTCTTTCCTACACTTGTGTTTTTTTATCTTCATTTAATTGAATGTGTATGGGTGTTTTGTAAATAAAAATATCGTTGATTTGTTTATGTAAAATGGTGTCAGCTACAGTTATACTTCTCTAGTATCAAAGAAGTTACAAACTAACATAGTAAATATTCCGAAGTTCGAGAATTTCTTAATGGTCAGGCTAATCAGACTATGAATCCGTGGATACTTGGTTCGCATCTCGTTGGTGCAAAAAATGTTCCGCACTTTTGCGCCATTAGATTGACGGTTCGTGCTGTTAACTAGCTGCCTTCTCTGTAGTCTATCAGTTCAAAATTAGATTAGATGTGTACGAAAATTCTAAAACAAACAAACAGATCTCTCGTTATTGTGGTACTTATCTGGCTCCTGATGTGTTATCAATGGACAAGCGTATAATAAGTATGTTACATCGAATGAACGAAAAGAGGATGTTACCTGTGAACAATAATATGACCGTATCCTTGGTGAACGAACAGAAATTCGAAATGTTACCAGTACATAAATATGTACTGTGTGTGGTGTGTATCTGTTTTTAGATAGAGGATAATTTTGCTTTGTTAGAATAGAAACATATCTTTAAACAATTTCTGAAAATATTCAACGTAATTATTTTTTACTTAGATATTTCTCTAACTCAAAATTCCAGTAATTTTAATTATCCAGGTATTTTTCAAATCTATGACACGTATTTGTTTCTCTTATAAAAAAAAACAAATAGCTCACGACTTACGGGCAATCTGTGATAAAAATAGTTGTAGATAATAAAGGTATTAACTCTCAATACATTTAGAACAATCTAGTAATTTGAAAGGACAGTGTTAGAGTTTAGTGAAGCAAATCGCTAAGCCCTTATATTTGTACACTCGTTGAAAATAAATATTGTATCAAACAATCTCTAATGTCAAATATGCACTACCGACACTTGTGTTTAAAATGTTTTTTTAAATTATAATAAATAATTAAAAACAACGTTTTGTATTTACATTATAAAAACTTTATTGAAGCCGTATGGCTTCCACTTTAAAATATCACTTTACATGTACATATTTCGACGTGATCCACGTCATCCTCAGAAGTAACTTACAAGACTATTTTATACCATCCCTTGTCGCATTACTTCATTGTTATTTTCATATTTCCTTAGTGTAATTGAAAAAAAATATATAATATATCTCGCCATATATCAACGTATCATTTCTATTTAATATTTGTTTTTTATATCTCATTATTTCTAATGTTTCTCTAATATTTAATGATATAAAACTTCGAGGCTGAGCTAAAACTAAAGTTTTTCCCCATAATATTGTATGTTGGGTAGTTTTTACATGTTCGGCTATTGCGGTTGTTTAGATATTCTTTTTTGGACTCCAAATTTCAATTTTATTTTCTGGAAAACAGTAATATAAAAGAAGATTAAGATAGAAATAACGAGGTAATATATTTTACCACTGTTTTACTGTACTACATACATTCAACACCGTTCACATTCTGTTACAGCATAAAAACCATAACATATGTATGTTTAACTTATAAACTTCGAATGTAAAAGTGAGTGTTGCTCTTTCTTCCTGGGTTTCACTTACAGGTATTTAAAGAGTTAATTTAAGTGTTTTAGTGTTAGTATTTATACAAGATGATACTTAAAAAATAAAAGGATCTGCCTACATTTCCAATTTTCATGAATTCTTGTAAAAGCATATTGAAATGTATTGTAACAAAGAAATAGAGAGATCAACAAGTGCCACCTTAATAATAGACGTAAAGAACATTAAAAATATCAAAATATTACGGCATCCAATTGAATATATATATATTATATGATGCAGACGTTTCAACCTCTGTAACTATTGCTTACATATAATATTTAACATAAACCAATAAATTTACTCAACATACAAACAAGATATTAAGTTTATATACATGATAAACAACTTTAATTCCAAAACATTATTATTATTTAAAAAGGTGCTGACTGTAAAACATTTAGGATGCTATATAAATTATAGAAAACTAAAAATTAAAAGAATTATGTAACAATAGCACAGTTTAAATGTTATAAATAAATTTATTTTCTGTTTGTTTGTAATTGAGTACAAAGCTACACAATGGGCTATCTGTGTATCGAAACCCGGTTTCTAGCGTAGTAAGTCCGCAGACATACTGCTGTGCCACTGGGGGGGGGGCAAGGGCTTTTTTTTTTCTGCAACATAGATAAAACTGCCATTACTTTTTATAACCAAGAGGCATTTTGTTGAATACATGATAAACAGCTTTAATTCCAAAACATTATTATTATTTAAAAGATACTTGCCTGTAAAACATTTGGGATGCAATATAAATTATAGAAAACTAAAAATCAAAAGAATTATTTAACAATAATACAGTTTAAATGTTATTACTAAATTTCTTTTTTGCGACATAAGCAAGACTGCCAATGGAGCGTTATAGAGGTATTTTGTTAAATATAATTATTCATTATGTTTGAGCAATGTATAATAAATACTCGTTTTTAATAGCACTGAATTATTGCTTTAAAAAAAAGATAGTTGGTCACAGAAGCATATTTTAGACTTCTTTTATTCTTAAAGATTAACTAGCTGGAATAAAAAAATATAAATATTAGAATCACATAAACAAGTTACAGTCTACGTGATACGATGACATTAGCAAACTCGAAGTGATGAGCTCCAAACTCTCGGGATTTTCCGCACGTGCACAATATTTTTAGTTTGTGATCCCTCAGACACATTTCACTAGCTTTAAGTGTTCTTAGAAATAGTCGACCTTACATTAACTTTATATAAAGTCGTACACATTACCTTATTTTAGGTCGGGACACCAGTCACTTTTGCTTTTTATCAAAGACATTCCTGTGCTAATAAAGCACAAAGAAAACATGGTTATACTGTAGCTGCTATATACAGTTGTATTTCTAGTATAATTTGTTTGCATGTACACCATAAAGTTTACAGATAATACCTAGAAAGGACTAAATTGTACAAATATATGATTTACGTAACTGAATTCCTGAACGAAATAAGTTTGGTCACACTCTCTCAAGAAGGACATTGTAATGTATGTCAGTCTAATGCCATTCCAAATAGTCAAGCTTTCTTACTTATTTCGCAGTCAAAAGGATAGTAAACTGACCGCTACTTTGTGTCTACTACAGAACGATTAGTGGTCATAGCCACTGTCTGTGGGGGTAGTGATGGGGTGTTTACAGAAACAGGAGAGCTTATACTGAGGGACTCGCTCTGACTGTTTTCCGAATCACTACAGTTCTCACTGCTGCTACCCTTTTTTTCTGTGACTTGTCCATTGTGGGTCTTAACATGTTTGCTCAAGTGGTCAGAACGCATGAAACGTTTATTACAAATGGGACAGGCAAACCGTTTTTCCCCGGTGTGGGTCCTGAGATGGCGCTGGAGCTCATCCGACCTAGTAAAACGTTTCCCGCAAAACAGCCAGTTACACACAAAGGGCCGTTCACCTGTATGCCAACGAAGGTGTGCCTTGAGATGGGACGTTTTTCCGTATACCTTTCCGCATCCCGGAATGTGGCAGCTGTGGACATTCTTCTTTCTCAGGTGTGCCCCAGCCGGACCCATCCGCTCAGCTTCCTGACAGTTAGGACAGTCACATGTGGCGCGCCCTGTATACCGCCGTTGTGATCGAGGGGATGGTACTTGAGACAGAGTAGGCTGAGAAAGGCCAAAATGTGAGGTCATAGAGGAACCCATTCCTTGAGCTGTGGGTAGCATGGACTTGTAGGTATCTTGGAGTATATGCTGTCCCGGCGTAAGTAGGTGAGCCGGATTCGAGGCTGCTGCAAGAGTTGGCGAAAAACTATATTCACCACCGGCATAGCTGGCGGAAATTTGGCTATGGAGCACTGGAGAGGCTCCCGACATCTCGAGCCATGAGCCGGCTCCTGCTGAAGTTGCGTGCATATCCCACCAAGTTGTTGAGTTGAGTGAATTGACGGAGGAAACTTCCGACTTGATACCACCATGAGTGGCGCCAGCCATATTCATATTAAAAGCCCAACTCTCGTAAGGATGGGCGCTCATTCCAATCCGGGAATACATAGTACCCAAATGAGAAGATTCACAATGAACTTTACTTAGGAGGTGAGTCTGGCTGGTGTCTCCTGAAGATGGTGTTACGCAGCCGCCAGGGTAAAACAAATTATCGCCTCCGTATGGGGCGGAGCTACATGACGACGTCACTGTGGGTCTCTGGTAGTTAATGGTCTGAGAGTTGCTACTGGCGAGAGTGGAAACTCGCTGGGAACCGAATGTCAGTCCGGCAGCAGAATTGCCAGTTGTTTGTGGGACTTTTTTCCAAGGATGGAAGCTTTTTCCTACTGCAGCATCGGCAAGCGGTGGGGGGCTCTTACTTGCGAGCTTGTTACACTGTGCCGCCAACATGGCGAGCGGAGTTCCTCCTAGCCGAGGGTGTTCCTAATGATGAAACCCAAAAAAGAAGAATGTATATAATCTCTTAGAGTTAAGTCACATAAACATATATTATATATCAATCGATTTATTTGAAATAAAAATCCTGATATTCTTCTATTATAAATTAAGTATAAGGGAAGTTACATTATTTTAAGAAGATCAAGATCAAAAACAGACCGATTATTATAATAACAATTACTACCCTCTCCAAAAAAAAACTTATATTGTGAATACTTAATTTACCAAATAGTATTTCGAATTCAGATTAAACATTTGCAACGACTATTTTATCCAATCTTATATTTTTAAGCATTTTTTTTTTAGTTTGCACTTAATAATACTTGGTTTTTGTTACTGAATCTGAATATGTCTTAACACTGCGTAGATATGATGTCAGATTTGGTATACTGATATGCTGGAACATGAATGTTTGACACTTGATCTGAGGTGGAATCACACACTAGTATAGATATATTACTAAAAACTAGTTTAAAACGTCTCAGTAAATCTATCGCACGCACTTTCTTCGGAACTACATAATATAATGTTAAACACGAATGTAGCTTAATAGCGCGTTTTTCTGAAAAAAAAAATCCAGATTTAAGAATTATTTTAAACTACTATTGTGATTTTTTAATTAATGTGAAACCGTGATCTTTTACACCTTGCAACAAGTTTATAATTCTTTATATGTAAGACACGCATATTTGATTTAACAAAACTTGTATACAACTACTTATAATTGATTCATTTACGATAAATTATTTTGTAACTAAATTACAAATTATAACCGTCTAGGAACAGAATAACAGTCTTTAACAAAATGAAACAACAAAGTAACATCTCAGGGTACTGGATATTTTCGACTTGAACGGTACCTTATACGACACATGAGTTAAAAGGCCAGGCCACAAGCCCCAACATTCAGACATAACTAACCTGTCCTTAATTTAGAACTGTTGATTATAGGGAGAGCAATAACTCAACAGCACCCGTCGTCTACACGGCTACTCTTAACCAAATAAGAATATTGGTTGTTATTCTTATAACAAACCCACAGCAGAAATTACGAAGTACTTTTAGCGACATCTTGTGGACTCGAACCTTGTATCTCCAGTCCGTAGACTGGTACACTAACCACTAGGACATTCCCGGGCCCATATCATAGGAAAAAAACGCCAAGTTTCTATCTTAAAGTAGAAATAAAAGTTTTATAGTTCTCATAGTTCTGGGTTTTCTCAACTTGCTCATTTCAAAGTGGTTTTATATTATTTTTATTTACTAATTTTCAGGTGATATGAATAACTAAACGGGCAGTACTTGAAGCAGAATCTAAACCCAGTGTTGTTCTTCCACTATCCTTCTCATGAAATTGACTTCCGATGTGAAAATATCTTCCAGCCATTAATTTAGTAGTACGTGGGTTTCTGAATAACGTTTTCCTATTATTGATCACAATGTAGTTTCATCTTTCGAGCAAACTCAGATCATATGTTTGTGAACAAACGACCTTCTACATGGCTATAATTATACATATATGTGTGTGTATGTATTGAAGTACAATTATTGTACATGGGTTTAATTATCTAAATAATTCGTGCATTTATTAACAGTTCTGAAATGATCTTTTTGAAGAATTACTTTTAATGTAAGTCTGTGGATTCGTTTCTAATATAACTACGTAGTCAGGGGTTTTACCTTTGATATTTAACTGTTCTACATACATATAATTTATGATTGCCATTTCCTTTCTCTAAGCATTTATACAGTATGGGCTCGATAAGATGCTAAACCAGATGGTTGATCGGCATGTTTTCTATTCAGTGCCTTAGACTATTTATAATTTATTATTCTTTTGTTAAAATACGAGCGGGACATAATTGAAGTTCGACAATAGGCGAGTCAAAATATTTACGTTTAGGCAAGCTCCAGAGAACGGAGAACGTGAGAAGGCAGATTCATCATCCCATCCACCTCTTCTCGACAGTCTATATACTTTTTAAAAGGTGACATGCATCTATATATATATAAATGTAAAGAAGTTTGTCTTAGCGATTTCAAATTGTAGTCAGATAGGAGCTGATAAATAGTAAAAAATAAAAAAGGCTAGAAGAATTTCATCTGCCCAAAAAACAGGCGTAAGTGAACTTTTTATTTTCAACTTTAAACCAGACCTATGGAAAAAAATTAGCTAAGTAGCTGCTAAATGATAAATTATCAAAACAATTATAATACAACAGTAAGTCAAAACTAAAAAGAGAAATGTCTAATATATCTTAAAGCGATTAAGGATTAGTAATTTTCCAAAAAACAAAGATTTTAGTAGAATATTGTTAATAAAGTAATCCCATGATACCAAAATCTGGATTTAAAATGCAAAATATGAGCTTATAAGCGTTTACTCATTTAATTTACGAAATATATTTAATTCTGTCACGTTCCAATTGTTTCTGCAATGTTACAGAAAACATAGCAGACAAAAAAAAGGCAGCAGTTTGTGTCCGATAACAGTAAATTGTTATTTGTTTCTGATAACACTCAATTATTATTTGTTTCTGGTAACACTCAATTGTTATTTGTTTCTGATAACACTCAATTGTTATTTGTTTCTGATAACACTCAATTGTTATTTGTTTCTGATAACACTCAATTGTTATTTGTTTCTGATAACACTCAATTGTTATTTGTTTCTGATAACACTCAATTATTATTTGTTTCTGATAACACTCAATTGTTATTTGTTTCTGATAACACTCAATTATTATTTGTTTCTGATAACACTCAATTGTTATTTCATTTTCAGGAATTCTCCTTTGGTGACGAAACTGATATGAGTCTAGTTCGTAAAGACCACTGAGAACATTTGAATCTTGAAACTTAGTTTAGTATTTCCCTAAACAAGTAAAGTTGCCTGTAATAGCTAGTAAAACTACGATCTACGGTTGTAAAGCTGTTATTTTAATATGCGCGTATTAATGTTCATCTGTTTGGGCAAACCATCCGAAAAATGAGAAAATATTCCTGTTACTTGTTCACAATAGCAACAAATTGGAAATCAACAATTTTTTTAATAAAAGGTTGTTACATCCTGCCTCATTTAAAGAAAATATATCTGTGGTAATTCAAAGTTAGGACTTTTGAAACTAATACACACTAAACTCTAAGTGAACAGTCCAGTCCAATCCACGTACGAATTCAAGATATATTCACATTTATTTCAAAAACCTTCTGTTTCTTTATCTTTTCTTTTTCGTTTGTTTGTTTAGGCAATTTTCATGATTGAATTGATGAAGAATTAAAACAGAACCTATCAATTATAAATAATAACTACGGCAAAAAAATTATCAGTTTTTATTGGTATCAAATATGGTTATCTATATATGCTAATACTGCATGCATATAAGTATCGTACTTTTACGTATTTGCGTACTGTTATTATAGCAAATTACAGATAGTATAAAATAACTCCATATTTGCCCCGTAGTTAATGCACCTTATATACGAAGATGTACATAATAAAATAACAGACAAATGGAGCAGTTTAACACGGCCCAATCCTTTGTTATCTGTCTTTAAATATATATATGTGTGTGTGTGTGTATATATATATATATGTTTCAACGCAGGTACACATACTTACGTAATTCACACAAAAAAACTCTAATGTGAAGAATAAACATACTATTGGGTATACTGAATGCTATTGTTCACTTATTACCACAAACGTTTTTTTCAGATATGTAAAAAACATGGCAGGCTTTTGTCTTGTAAAATTCGAAGCTGGAAGAAAACTACTCCCATTTCTAGTCACAAAAGCTATTTTTCAAATAGCGGGTGTCGTTGAATATTAGAAAAGACTTGACACGTAAGCTAATCGAGATAATACCTGAAAAACGAAGTGTCCTAAACAATCTGGAAATATTAGACTATAGAGGAAATTGATCTGAGCCTCTCACAAAGCCACATTCTATCACGTTCGTCATGAGGTAGTTCAGCTGACAGCGACCGCGTGCATTAAGATAGGCCAGACAGACTGATGTGTACGCAAACCTGTCACCACACACACACACGTTCGGGCGACAAGGAACGGATACAAGGGATCAGAGATCGCATCTCTGATCTGCAAGAGTGGCTTTAACAGATTATAGCATGAGGTCACTCTGTACAACCACAGATTTCTTGATAACGCCATTAAACCTAATCAACCGCTTAAGCTGTCACCATAGAAACAATTTAGCAATGATTGTCAATAGTGATACTCAAACTAACTTTTCGTACTTTGTTCTAGTTGTCCTTATATTTAAAACTTGACATATGACTTACCGTGATATAATATTTGTTCTCAAGAAATCAGACGCTCGACTAAAACAACGATACCAAATGACAACAACGAAACACCGATGTAAAAAGGATGTATTTAACAGTAGCATTTATCAGCCGATAAGCCATTACAACTACTGTAATACATTTTCTGTTACTGTTATTTCAGTACTGATGCAACATTTTCAAAATGATATTTCTATCTACAGTAACTAATCCGAAGTTTTTGATTCAATGTAAACCAAGATGGGTGATGTTTATTTTAGACTTTTCTGCAAAGCTAAACAAGGGCTATCTACGCATAGCGATCTATAATTTTGAGTAGAGGAAAGGCAGCTAGTCAACAAGGCGCGAACTTGGAATCTTTGGATTCACTATCGAAGCATATTAACCACAAAGCCACGCCCGTTCCCTAAGATAGTTGAAACATTTCAAGACATGTTAAATAATAACCCTACAAAGCAATTAATCAAATAATTTATTAAAATAATTGCGGTGACTTAAAAAAGACGTTAAAACTTGTACTTGAATTTTCGTGAGCAACTTTAAACATTTTTAATGCACTTTGTTATTTGTTTAATGTAATTCAGTAGTAACTCATCTCGGTGTTACAATTATTAATATTTCTATAAATATCTCCAGAAAACTTACTTATTAATAGAAAGGAAAGGGAAGCAAGTCGC